ATATTAGAATAATTTCTGAAGGATCACATAACACTGAAGCCTGGAGTAATGGCTTCTGTAAATCCAGCTTTGCCGTCACAGAAAGAAATTACATTTACTAAAATAGGTAGCATTGTAATAACATTTAATTTATAAAATGTCACATTACTGTTTTCTCTGTATTATTAATTAAATAAAAGCAGCCTTGGTGAGCATAAGAGACTTCTCTTAACACATACAAATTCTTACTGATTTTGTAGACTGTATTTTTGTCCACACAAAACTGCAACACAAAGCAGCATTATGCCACTAAAAGGTGCATTTCAAAGGCAAAAATGTATTTCAACAGGAGTCACAATCACAGGAAACAATAAATCATCTCAAATATTTAATTTGGTCCAATCGCCAAGTTTGCTTACTGTTACTCAGCCAGCGATTGTTAATATTCAAATGAGATACTCTTTGTTGTGATCTATTGCTGCATCTGTTTTTAATGATCCTTTTTGTGTCTTTTTGAAATTTGGGATTTATTTAGGCTTTATTCATTTTAAAACATGGGATGGTTGCCAAAATTTATGATGACTTTTTGGCACTTTCTCCCTTTGATTACTTGTAATTTTTTTTCCTGTAGGCCTACTATAAAAATAAATGGTAAAAGGGACAAAAAAACTGTAAAAAATAAAATGTATGCTGTTTGTGAAAGAGAAACCTGCAGTGAAATAACTGCAGGTGAAATGGCCCCCATCAGTCTTAAGTCATATAGAAATGTTGATATGCTTGACTTCTGTGGCCTCTCTTGAGGGTCAGCGGGAGGAGTCTGTGTTTTGAACAGCTGCAGTCCGGTTCACTGAGAGCCCAATGACTTCATCTCACTACACACACACAGATGTAGAGGGCAGCTGTTTCTCTCTCGCTGCCAGAGACACAGACATCTGCCGCATCTGCCTTTCACCCAGACATTCTGTTCTTCTTGTCCTGCCTTATTTCGCATCATATTTATAATTTTTCTTGCTTGAATATTCAATAAGAAATATACAACTTGTCCCAGTGCTGTAATACGAAAGTACTACAACACTATCTTTTTTGTTTTTTCTTTTTCACTTTATTATTATTCATTTGATGTCTCTTCTAGCTCAATTCTCACATGTCATCTTCACTCCCTGTTTCTCACTCTTTCTCTCCCATTTGTATTCATCGTGTCCCCTGTTGGTGTTCTGAGTCCTTCTGTCACTCTGATTGGCTGTGATGATCTGTCATATGGCCGTCTGATGTGCGTTGGTGTTTACAAACAGGCGTGGAGGACAGTGGGATAGTGTCAGTCAGCTGATCGCAGTCTGTCCTGCTAGAAAGGAGTTCTCCTGTCCTCAAACCACAGACGCTTTCGAAGTTACTCTTCAGATTTACACCGCTGTCCTTAATGTGACGATTTAGGATAAGCGAATGAGGGAAACGTGAGTCTTTGGCTCTTATGTGAGATTTATGAAAAGCATCTTCGATCTGTGCTTACTCTTTATGCTATTGACATCATCATATTCATCACATTCAAGTTCTGAGTCCTTGCGTTTTCTCAATGAGTAATTCTCTCGCTCTCTGTTTTGCTCTGATTTTCGAGAGCTTCTTCAGTGCTCTTGCATTTATGAGAATATTAAATGGTATTTAGATCTTGTCTGAGGCAGTTTATTCCAGTTTATAAAATAGCTTGATGAGTGCAGTATTCTTTCCTGTGTTGATGTGTTTCCTTTTGAAATTAGAAGTTTGGGTGAGGCATATAGGGAGTTTGTGCCCTTTTTAAAAAAACAAAAAAAGTAGCCATTGCTTTAGTTCAGCCATGGTTATGAGCATAATTTGTTACAAGCTAGTAAGAAGCAGGTGGTATTAGGGGGCGGGGCATTCTCATTCTAGAGAATATTTGATTGGATAACAATCTGTGTAGTGCAGGATGAGTCATCAATATTTTTGCTCCATTTTCTAGAAAGTGAAAGACTGTATATTTTAAAGCATTTATTTGTGATTTTTAGAAATGTGCTAGCATATGCACGTCCCCTAAATGTTTTGGGTCAGTAATATTGCAAACTGCATTTGATCAAAGAAACAAAATACAGTAAAAACAGTGATATTGTGAAATATCATTAGAATTTAAAGTTCCTATTTCCTTTTCAATGTATTAAAAATGTAAATTATTCCTGTCATGGCAAAGCTGAATTTTCAGCACCTATTACTCCAGTCTTTACGAAATCATTCTAGTATGCTGATTTAGTGCTCAAGAAACATTTCTTCTTCTTACAATTATTATTCTTATTATTAATATCTTTTCTCTTTTTATTATTTACTGTTAAAAGCAGTTGTGTTGTTTAATATTTTTGTGGAAATGATTATCTTTTTTAACAATATAAATATCTTTAATATCCCTTTTGATCAATATAATGTCTCCTTGCTGAATACATTTATTCATTTATTTAATTAATAAAAAAAAACACTAACTCATAACTTTTGGACGGTAGTGACAAAAAGACATCAATTTTGTATATGCCTTCTCTATGCTGTCAGAACTGAAAGAGACTGGTTTGTTTGACATTGTTGGAAAGAAAAAAAAATTCAACATTTCCAACGAGGTCAAAATCTATTTTAAAAAACAGTTCACAGAAACAAAAAATAATTCATCAGGGAAAAAATATTTTAAAATATTGGGTCAGGTTGGCAGCTGAAGAAGGGTATGAGAAAGATTTGACATGCATGTTCTCACAGGAACACAGTGATGCAGCTAGTCTGAAATTTGAGTGTGTAATTTTTTTAATTTATGAAATTTAGGAACTGATGCATAGTAAATGCTAAATGTTGCTGACATTGTTTAATAGAGGTTAATGTTAAACCACTAATATCACATTGCATTTTAGATTGTGCAGGATTTTAAAGAGCTTTGTCATAAACATCTAATATATTTGTCTTCATGTGATGGTTGAGTGATGTGTTTGTTTGTGCTGGTCTGCATGAGGCGAGTCAGGACAGGTTCCAGCCGTCAACACTCAAACTCACAGATGAGAGAGGTGAAAATTAGACCAAGATATTTATAAACGCAGCACTGGACACTTCATCTTTGTGGTCAGGGATCTGTTTTGGGTGCAGATGTACTTTAAAATGCATTTCATGTAGATCAGGATGGAAATGCCTGATGGTTTTGCAGATATTTTGCACGTCCTGTGTAGATTCCATCATCTGAAGTCATATGCACTTCCCATCACCCCCTCATTCACTGGGGTCATTTATGACATCATGGGAGGGTGTCTGTCTCCAAGAAAACGCTTATGAATTCCGAACAGTTATTGACAATAATGCAGGTACCTCCATTGCCCTTGTATCTCACACATGACTTGACACAGGGACTGTTTTACTTCAAAGATCAGGATGCCGACTGAAAGTCCCTCAAGATTAATCTGAACCTTCTCCCATCACAAGCAGCTGCTTATTGTCTTTGTACATTTGTTGTTGTTGTTATGGCTAGAGTTGATTTTTTGAGTTTGTATTTTGAAGGATCATTTGTTGTTGATCTTTCAGACCTTTTCTGATCTTCACCACATTAAAAATAAACCCAAATCTAAAATTAATCTATTAGCTATTTGTGCACAGGAACACACACTTAGCCTGCCTGTTTTGATTACATAGATAAAGGATTCAGGAAAAAACACACGTCATCCGGAAAACTGATGTACACATCACAGCATAAGACAGAAATAAAACAAAACAACACAAGAGCAGGAAGATTTAGTGGCAGTGCGAAGGGCTAGTTATCCTTTACGTGTGGACACATGCACGTTCATAAGCGTTTATGAGGTAAGACACTATTATGTTATGTAAGCTCTAATCAGGCAGTGTACGTCCAGCAGCAGCTGAGTGAGCCAGAATGATGTCATGCCATCTGTGTGGAATCGTGATGTGTGATGTAGCATCATGCAAACAGAACTCCCGCAAGAGACATGAAAAATTAATAGCTGCCATAGGGAGTTCATAGAAGAATAAAGCAGTCAAACAATCTACCTTAACGCAGGTCTGTCTGCTGATATGGTTTGGAGACCACAGAAATACTTTATGCGTACAATTAATTAATTTTTTAAAGCACAAATCCAATGTTCTTTTGTTTGTTTGCTTATTGTGGGATCTATTAAGCATATTAGATCAACTTTTTTTAAACATGAACTTAACCTAGCATAAATAATAGCTAATTTAGGCATAATCTGTTTAATTGATATGCAAATTATCTTTGTTAAAAGTGTTTTGTCTTTTCCAAAAAATTTTTAAAAAATTTATTACTAAATGCCGTTATATTCAACAATTTTTATGCAAAAAGCATTAAATAAAAACATTTGGGGAACAATGGGAAGACAATAATCTATCCATTTTCATATTTTAAATTCATTTTGATCATTTTTAATGACTGCATTTTTTTATTTACTTAATTTGACTGCATTCATCAAGCTTGAGTATTCAGCCCTTTTACCCAAGTTATGGTAAGACATTATTATTTATTAAATATTTAATTTATGGAAAGTTTATCAATAACAACAAACCCAAACTAGCCAGAGTTTACTAAGTGATAGCTTAATTTATACAAAGTTCTTGCATATTCTTTTTTTTTAAACCATGGTTTTGGACATTCAGCAAAAATGACTAGCCTCTAATAAAATGAGTGGAAAATGAAATAGCTAATTTAGTTTGACCACCTGAGGTTGATGATGAACATTTTTTGACGGTTAAGTACTTCCGTTCACTGGCCATTTGTTGAAAAAAACTTTTAAAAAGTTTCAGGGCCTATTTTGTGCTGCATTCATCGAAAGTGTGAAAAAGACAAAGATCGGCTGACAAACTGTATAGCAAGAACTATACAATGAACAGCATCAGTTCATTCACTATAAAGCCTCTTCAGTTCATTCACTATAAAGCCCCTTGGTGCAAGCATGTGAAAGGCTTCATCAAATATTTCTGTAACTTTTTTTAAATAATTGACAGTGTTTTGCTTGTTTCTGCAGTGAGGCACAGAGTCAACCATTGTTTTGCTGAGCACACTGAGCACATTTAAAGGAGAAGAGAAGTGGAAGAGAGGAGAAAAGAAGAGAGAGAGAGGGTGACCTGCCTAATGGCAGAGAGCTGGATGTCCCAGTGAGGTCAGGGCGGACGGGAGGTCATGGGGTCATTTATACTGGGGAAAGCTGCTTCTCTGGAGCTACTGCTGGAAGCCTGCATTCGTGCGTTTGGTGAGTGAACACTAAAATGACAATTATCATTTTGGCCGCTATCCATAGTTTATAGGTTTCTAACAGATTCACACACCAATCTCAGACTAGCTCAGTTGCTAGATCTTATGTTTGTACACATTCATTAATTGATTATAATAATCACCGTAATTGACCACTGTCATTGGTCATGGTTGATCCCATTATGGATTGCTGTGATTGTGTATGATTAATAACCTCTTTTATGCTTAATGATAGTTGCTAATAACTATAAATGATCATACTTAAAATTGCTGGTCATATTGTTTATATTAATTACCGATCAATGTTATTGATCCATTTTATTGATTGTTTACCGATATCCTCCATTAGGTCTTTATGTCTAATTTTTCTCATATATGTATATACTGTATCTCATATTATATCTATGTTTTTGAGCTGCTATTCATAAATCTGCAAAATACAAAAAATGTGTAATCCTCCCTTTCTCCATAACTAAGTTTTCTTGTAATATATTATTATTTTTCATTATGATTATATTGTGGTTATATTATATTATATCAATTTTTTTATATATTCCTCCCTCTTTCTGTGACCGTCTCTCTTCTGTTATAGATTATGAAGGAGAGCTGCATGAAAATCAGCTTCCCCGAACTCTTCTGCTGATGCATCGCTGGTATGTGTCCTCCACCGAGCTCGCTGGGAAACTTCTGATTATATATCCTGTGCTAGTCTAGTATGAGCATGTGTGGTTTGTGTTTGATGTTTCAGTAGATATCTGTTTTTTAAAAAGTTTGATGTTAGATCTCAGTGGATACCAAGTGGCATCTCCAAGAAAATGATGTTAGTCCGAGCTTTTCTCAGAATTAATGCAATTACTTTAACCCTAACAAACTTCGTTTTGTGAAATGTTTTTCTTGAAAGTGTGTTTCTGCTATCTTTCTTTCTTTATATGTTGTGTAATGCAATGCCATTCATTCATTGCATATTGTACAGTATGTGCATATACATCCATTCATTCTCCAGCATGTTTAATGCTCCTTGACTCTCTATCACATATCGTGACTGTCGGGGAGATGACTGCCAGCGGACACGACTGAAGATTTGCTATTTAATGAGGTAAATAAAAACAGCTTCCATTTAACAAGATAAACAACCCATTTATTCCACACGAGTTTCCTCTTCTGAAGGATTTAAGGTGTTTATTTGCATTGCTAGGCAACAACAGAACATGCCATGAGGTGGCTACTATATAGTGTTATCATTTTTTTTTATTCCCCTTCTGTTCATCCTCTTTTTCTCTGGGGGCTGCGTGTCTGTTGCCTGCGCTCAGAATGAGAAGTGATGATGTCACAAGGACAGGCATCGCTCCTTCAGATCGACGTTTGTCCACAGTGGACATTTAGTGTTTTAGTGCAGAGCAAAGAATGATTCAGCGATTCATCCATCTATAATTCACAAAGCATGTCTCCTCAGGCAACCTTTGCTTTCTTCTCTATTCACATCTACCTGCCAGTTTCAGATCTATCACTCCACCAAAACCACAGGCTTTTATTTAGGAGTTCAGAATTTGTTTTGAGAATAAATGCAAGAATATAATAATCTGGGAATCAAAATCTAATTGAACACTTATGTTGTGTTCCAGTCATTTTGAATTTGAGAGGATTTTCTTTTTCCCAAACATGCTTGTTATTGTTATCACATTGGACTAAACTTACTGACCTGCTATTTAATGAGGTAAATAAAAACAGCTTTTCCATTTAACAAGATAAACAACCCATTTATTCCACACGAGTTTCCTCTTCTGAAGGATTTAAGGTGTTTATTTGCATTGCTAGGCAACAACAGAACATGCCATGAGGTGGCTACTATATAGTGTTATCTTTTTTTTTTATTCCCCTTCTGTTCATCCTCTTTTTCTCTGGGGGCTGTGTGTCTGTTGCCTGCGCTCAGAATGAGAAGTGATGATGTCACAAGGACAGGCATCGCTCCTTCAGATCGACGTTTGTCCACAGTGGACATTTAGTGTTTTAGTGCAGAGCAAAGAATGATTCAGCGATTCATCCATCTATAATTCACAAAGCATGTCTCCTCAGGCAACCTTTGCTTTCTTCTCTATTCACATCTACCTGCCAGTTTCAGATCTATCACTCCACCAAAACCACAGGCTTTTATTTAGGAGTTCAGAATTTGTTTTGAGAATAAATGCAAGAATATAATAATCTGGGAATCAAAATCTAATTGAACACTTATGTTGTGTTCCAGTCATTTTGAATTTGAGAGGATTTTCTTTTTCCCAAACATGCTTGTTATTGTTATCACATTGGACTAAACTTACTGACTTTGCTCATCAAAGATCCCGGGCAAAAATGACCAACTTACAAGGTGAATAAGCTCAGATCAGTGAGGCCTACGATCAGTCAGTTCCAAACAGAAATACAAAACCTGTGCTAATAAAAAGAAAACAAACTGACAAAAAGATTGATTTTAAGATTTGGTAATAATGTAGCATAACAAAAAATTTTTGTAGGTTGGTAATTTTTGACTGGGAACACCACAAGTGATTAATAAGGTAAAGGGAAATAAACAGCATTTTAGAATAATACAAAAAAAAAACTGACAATGAAATGTAAAATGAATAAGGATATCTAAGATTTCTGCCCTATTTCTTGATCACTAGTCTAGTAAATTTGACCATGACCATGCAAAGTCTTGTAGAGACGTTTAGATTTCCTTCCTTTCATCAAAGCACAAAATTCTCTCTGGATCATGCTAGAGAACATGATCGTTGGGTTTCACACAAACTTATGGCGTTCATGCAGCTTGTCATTTAAGCAAAAGGGGAAAAACAAATACTAAGACATTTTGAAATGCATGTTAATTTATCCGTTTTAATTTTCAGTTTTGACTATCAAATGTTAGGTTAATATATAATAAATGTAATATGCAATGTAATTAGCTATTTAAATCATTATATTAAATTTAAAAAATGTGAAATAGTTTTATCCGATTTGATATAAAAAAAGACACACACACACTTTCACACACACAAAGACGCCCACACCTGTGGTTAGTGTAACTTATCAGTAATCAGTGTAAATTGAGGTGTTGTGTAAAAGTTGTCTGATGACCTTTTCACCCCTGCTCTCATTGGTCTCACTAATATGCACAATTACACAATACAAACACCCTTGGGTTGTTGCCTCCTAACTGCATGATGCCAATTTTGACTCATGCTGGGCACACATTCCAGCTGATGTTTATGTCTCAAAATAACAGAAAAGCCAGAAAAGAGTGTGTTTTTGTGTCTCAGTGCCCTTAGTGAGTCCGGCAGTCAAAAACATCTACATAATTAATGATAAAGGGCATGCATCTGACATAAATACGCTTCATCCGTTCCTTTCTCCAGGGACTTGGTGAGAGTCACCAAAACAAAAACATCACAAAATGAAGGAGGTCAGTATTTTGCAGAACTGCATCCTGTTGGGGGAAAAGTAAACTTGCTTGATTTAAAATGTAGCCTTGATATTTACTGGATATATCCAGTCAGGCTAGATTTGTTGCTGTTTTTCAGGGGGTCCGCAGGAAATCAACTCTGCACGTCTGCTAGAACTACGTACAAAGTATTATTGTAATACCATTGTTTTTTTTTATGTTTTCAGAAGTTTGTTATGCTTACCAGGGCTGTATTTATTTGATATGTACAGTATAAATACTGTAATATTTTGAAATATTATTACCATTTAAAATGTTTTATATTTGAATATATTTTATAATGTAATTTATTTCTGTGATGTGAATTTTCAGCAGCCATTACTCCAGTCTTCTGTGACACATGATCCTGCAGAAATTATTCTAATATGCTGATTTAGTGCTCAAGAAACATTCATATTTTGTTTTGAGAATGTTGCACAATTTGACGATATTGGCCTATTTTGCCAAAATATTGTAGTCCATTAGATGCACAGCCTTTAACATAAACAGCAGGAAGAGTTTTCTCTTCCCTTTTAATTGGTAGTTATTTAAAATACATCCTAAATTTGCAGGATTACACAGTTGGGTATTTTTATTATTATTTTATATTTGCATTTTTTTTTATTGTTTTTTCCTTGTTGTGTGTAACCCAAAATAGACCTGCAAACCATTTTTGGGTTACAACATACCAGTTAAGAAACACAGCTTTAAAATACCATGAAATTCCATCTAAACACTATGTTGCTGCATATAAATATGGTCATTCTTGCTTCAAAGTATTATCTTGTACCATCACTGTACTATGGTGCCACCACAATACTTTTTTGTAAGTGTAAGATGAGTTTAATTAGCACAAACAGCAAACCAACAAAACAAATGTTTGCGGAGTTGTGAACTGTTTCTTTCTTTTGCGTTTGTGGTCTAAACAGACTCTGCTTCAAGGTTACAATTCCCCACAAGTAAGTACGGTGATGATGGGTTTGAAGATTTTCTCAAGGCTGTTACCTGACAACAAACAGCATTAAGTATGGCAGCTGGAGCAGTACTGAGAGGAAACTGATATATACAATGTGATTGGACAAGCAATTCATCAGCCTGCATTTACAACAATTAGGTTTCTATCATTTCGTTGATGATGTAAATGAGCGGGGCAGAAAAACAAAACTTTCTCTGAAATACAGAGAGCCATTTGTACACTTTGGTAAACACTGTGTTTAGCCACAGCAATGAAAGTTCAATGTAATTTAAAACGTTCAAACCTGTGTTGTGTGTGTGTGTGTGTGTGTGTGTGTGTGTGTAGGTACTGGATAGCTGAATTCCCTGCAGAGTTTGATCTGGATCTAGGTTTGATCCGTCTTACAGAAGAATTTCGAGATGCAGCCGCTCAGCTGGGTGGTGACGAGCACATTAAACTACTTGACATTTCTACAATGTGAGTGTTGTTACAGCACACAAACACTCACACAGGTTCTGATGGTTGTTTATCTGCTCACAGTGTGCCGATCATTGACTGCGTCAGTACTTATTGACCTATTTGGCTTTAATCATGAGCACCGGTTTGATCGAGATGAAGATACTTTGTTATAAATTAAAATGTTGCCCTTTTATGGCATAACTTGACACTAATGAGCATGTGTTTTAATCACTGGTTCAGATTATGTGGAAATGATTGCATAGAGCATTATCCACCTGTCGCTTAGACTTTGTCACATATTAACAATGAATGGCATCTTAAATTTCACACATTAGAATTCAGGAGATCATTTCATGATTATATTATGAGATTATGGCAGATGTCTTGTCATATTTGGTTAATGAGCCTAAACTAAATTATTGTTTGTGCTGAGACAACAGTGTGACATTATATAAAGGAAGATCCATTTTCTAAATATTATGTTGAATTAATATTGTTATATTGTTGGAGAATATAATAATACTGAAAGGTTGGGGAAAAAATTAACAATTTTTAATGTATTGTGTAGTAATAGACTATGAATGAACATAAAACAGTGAAAACATGTTTATCTCTTCAGCCCCTCATATGACTGGATGCGTAAACTGACTCAGCGAAAGAAACCGGTGAAGAAGGGTAAAGCGTCACTGCTGTTTGATCATCTGGAACCCATTGAGTTGGCCGAACACCTCACCTTCTTAGAGTACAAGTCCATCAGAAGGATATCGGTTAGTGTGCACAGCAGAAATGGAAAAATAGTTTTTCCTTCACCTGGGAAGGCTGGCAGCTGTAGAGGACTTACGTCAGTGAAGATAATGTGTGTGTGTTTTTTTGATATAGAAAGAAAAAAAGTCTATGCATATGAGAACACACTTTGGTTCACTTATCAGCTCTGCTGATTTTTTCCATTGTCCTGCATTGTTGTTCTTAGCAGCTAACACTCAAGTATTTTTTAGTTAGCAATCATCCTTCCTTAAAACCATGACAATTAAACGAATGGTTCAGCCAAAAAATTGTATTTCATGAAAATGTACTCACCCTCAGTAGTAGTAGTTTGGACTCTCATTCTAAAGGATCTATGGTTAGCAAGTGATGTAATGCTAAATGCATAAGAGACAAAGAAGGGATTATTCAGGACGAATCGATTCACTAAAATCCAACTTTCCAACCCAAGACTGTTTAAGATGAGCCGATTCACTAGAATGAAACCAATTCACTTCCAACAATACATCAGACTGACTATTTAATTTAGCACGTTTATTCACTGGTTGCAAAAAGAGGCTTGTTACTGGAAAAGTTGTGTTACTTTGAAAACAGCTGAACTACTGTCACATGACTTTGTAGTTGGTAGCAGTGCTGCTTTTAATTTGTTTCTCTCTAAAACTAGTATGAATGTGTCTTTATGTTTATGTTCTCAGTTCACAGATTACCAGAGTTACGTAATTCATGGCTGTCTAGTGGATAACCCCACATTAGAGCGCTCTATCGCTCTGTTCAACGGGATCTCCCAGTGGGTTCAACTGATGGTTCTCAGTAAACTCACCCCTCAGCACAGAGCAGAGGTCATCAACAAATACATCCATGTTGCACAGGTAAGAACATACTGTACATGTATCTTCAGCTTGCCTATAGAAATAGAAATATTCCTAAAGAATTAATGTAATATATAATAAAACAGGGGTAATAATAAAACATGTGAAAAAAAAATCAAATTACAGGAACTGCAGCTTCAAGGTGATGGAACCCATAAAATGATTGAATTACTCATTACGAAGAACTAAGTATGGTAAAAGGCCAGTAATCTTGAAAATAAACATGCATTCTGGGTAACACTAAAGTGACATGCTGTCTGACTGTACCGTTGATTACGCTAATGCGTGACCCTTTACCCAGCAAACCAGTTTCTGTCAGTGCATTCTGAAAATAGCTAGATGACATTTCCAGCCCCTTTGATATGTAAATGTCTGCCAGCGAAAGAGTGTGAGGGAGCCTCCTGCCTGCTCTCCTGCCGCCAGGGGTGTATGAAACTCCTCTATTGTGAAGAGCACCCAGGCATCCCTTCAGTACAAAGCTGGTGCTTTTAGTATCTGTTTTAAGAATATTCCTAAAGAATTAATGTAATATATAATAAAACAGGGGTAATAATAAAACATGTGAAAAAAAATCAAATTACAGGAACTGCAGCTTCAAGGTGATGGAACCCATAAAATGATTGAATTACTCATTACGAAGAACTAAGTATGGTAAAAGGCCAGTAATCTTGAAAATAAACATGCATTCTGGGTAACACTAAAGTGACATGCTGTCTGACTGTACCGTTGATTACGCTAATGCGTGACCCTTTACCCAGCAAACCAGTTTCTGTCAGTGCATTCTGAAAATAGCTAGATGACATTTCCAGCCCCTTTGATATGTAAATGTCTGCCAGCGAAAGAGTGTGAGGGAGCCTCCTGCCTGCTCTCCTGCCGCCAGGGGTGTATGAAACTCCTCTATTGTGAAGAGCACCCAGGCATCCCTTCAGTACAAAGCTGGTGCTTTTAGTATCTGTTTTAAGGCCTGCTGGGCATGATCCATGTCAGCTAATAGATGTTAAGTGTTGAGCTGTCGAGTTGCTGGAGCTCAAGTAATAAAGGAGAGCTGTGCTTTTATGAGATCAGCCAGCACTTGTGCAATTATGCTGCAAATGAAAAGCCCTAGATTATATGTGAACTAATGGATCAAATCTATCTATCTATCTATCTATCTATCTATCTATCTATCTATCTATCTATCCGTCCATCTGTCTATCTGTCTGACAGTCTATATATCTCTTCTGTCTCTTTCAGAAACTGCTCCACCTGCAGAACTTTAACACGCTGATGGCTGTGGTCGGGGGTCTGAGTCACAGCTCTATTTCCCGCTTGAAGGAAACTCATTCTCACCTCAGCCCAGAGGTCACCAAGGTGCAAAAGTCATTCCAAAAACAGCTGTTTAGTTTTCTCTAAGAATTGTTAAGAAACTACTCACTCCCTTGTCCGTAAAGTCAAACTGTCATTGGAGGCCAGCTCCCAGTGCCGAAGGAGTTCATGTGATGTTGGAAACATTTTATAAGACATAATCTTACAGTGGTCGCAGAAAAGTATAGTTTGTTGTACAAAAAGGTTTTGCTCATTGCAGATGTCACTTGGTTTGATATTTTGTCATAATGCAAATGAATACATTTTAGGTTTAATTTAAGTGTCATTTCAGGCCCCTGTATATGAGAAATGCACTAAAAAGAAAAAAAGCGAGTGGTCGGACGTGTGATATCTAGAACATACAGTGGGTACGGAAAGTATTCAGACCCCCTTAAATTTTTTACTCTTTGTTATATTGCAGCCATTTGCTAAAATCATTTAAGTTCATTTTTTCCCTCATTAATGTACACACAGCACCCCATATTGACAGAAAAACACAGAATTGTTGACATTTTTGCAGATTTATTAAAAAAGAAAAACTGAAATATCACATGGTCCTAAGTATTCAGACCCTTTGCTCAGTATTTAGTAGAAGCACCCTTTTGATCTAATACAGCCATGAGTCTTTTTGGGAAAGATGCAACAAGTTTTTCACACCTGGATGTGGGGATCCTCTGCCATTCCTCCTTCCAGATCCTCTCCAGTTCTGTCAGGTTGACATGCACTGTGAGCTGTAAGGTCTTATATAGACAGGTGTGTGGCTTTCCTAATCAAGTCCAATCAGTATAATCAAACACAGCTGGACTCAAATTAAGGTGTAGAACCATCTCAAGGATGATCAGAAGAAATGGACAGCACCTGAGTTAAATATATGAGTGTCACAGCAAAGGGTCTGAATACTTAGGACCATGTGATATTTCAGTTTTTCTTTTTTAATAAATCTGCAAAAATGTCAACAATTCTGTGTTTTTCTGTCAATATGGGGTGCTGTGTGTACATTAATGAGGAAAAAAAATGAACTTAAATGATTTTAGCAAATGGCTGCAATATAACAAAGAGTGAAAAATTTAAGGGGGTCTGAATACTTTCCGTACCCACTGTATAACAGAAAGAGGTGATTAATTTCAGTAACTGTCATTTTCTATGCTATTGACAGATCTGGAATGAAATGACAGAGCTGGTTTCGTCAAAAGGCAATTACTGTGCTTACCGCAAAGCCTTCAGTGAAAGCGAAGGGTTTAAGATCCCAATCCTAGGTGTTCACCTGAAGGACCTGATCGCCGTGCACGTGGTCTTCCCGGACTGGGTGGAGGATGGGAAAGTGAACATCGTGAAGATGCAGCAGCTGTATCTCACCTTTAATGAGCTGGTGTCCCTGCAGAGCGCTGTGGCTCAGGTGGAACCCAACATGGACCTGATCTACCTGCTCACTGTGGGTTCTGCTCGCACGTCTCTGGTCATAGATCTCCACATTCAATCAAAGTCTCACTGAATCACAGTGGTTTTGTCCACTTAGGGAAATTATTGGCTTTAATTTTATTTTATGTATTTTTTTGTAAAGCTGTCCTTGGATCTGTACTATACAGAGGATGAAATATATGAGCTGTCCCTGCTTAGAGAACCCCGTAACCCCAAATCTCAGGTAAGATGACAGTATGGCCCATGCGTGCTCTGCTCATTCACTACTGTTCAGAAATTCATACTCTTTTTAAAAAAAAAAGATTTAATACTTTTATTTAGCAAGGATGCGTTAAATTGATCAGAAGTGACAGTAAAAGATATATAATGTTACAAAATGATTTGCGTAGAAAAATAATTGCTTTTTTTTTTTAATCCTTTGAATTGCAGTGTTATGACTCATAGCCAGTAATTCAACATGTTTTGGTCATTTAATTGAACATTTTCATAAGATTATCCTGTCTTATACTGTAACGTATTTGATATTGTGTTCACAACTGTAATCGATTTCTTCCTCTCTCTTAAGGAATTTCTGCTGGAAAGGGTCTCTTTTGTAAAAATCAGCGCAGAACAGAATTGATTTCATAACATCCATGTTTTTTCTGCAGCCCACGTCACCCACAACGCCCAACAAACCTCTGGCTCCACTGGACTGGGCCTCTGGGGTCACCACCAAACCAGATCCCTTATTTAATACTTTTATTTAGCAAGGATGCGTTAAATTGATCAGAAGTGACAGTAAAAGACATATATAATGTTACAAAATGATTTGCGTTGAAAAATAATTGCTTTTTTTTTTAATCCTTTGAATTGCAGTGTTATGACTCATAGCCAGTAATTCAACATGTTTTGGTCATTTAATTGAACATTTTCATAAGATTATCCTGTCTTATACTGTAATGTATTTGATATTGTGTTCACAACTGTAATCGATTTCTTCCTCTCTCTTAAGGAATTTCTGCTGGAAAGGGTCTCTTTTGTAAAAATCAGCGCAGAACAGAATTGATTTCATAACATCCATGTTTTTTCTGCAGCCCACGTCACCCACAACGCCCAACAAACCTCTGGCTCCACTGGACTGGGCCTCTGGGGTCACCACCAAACCAGATCCCTCAGTGGTCAACAAACACATCAGGAAAGTTGTGGATGTAAGATGTTGTCAGCATCAATACTCACAGACATTTATGATCTTGATAAAACCAGAAAATTATGATTATATCAAGCCTATTTCTAATTGCCTGAATGGTTTAATCAGATGAATTTGATTATATGGTATATTATATCAATGCACATTTTTTTATGCCACATACAGAGAACAGTCCAGTCATTTAATAGATGTGTGTATTTAGCTTTTGCTCATTGCAACACATTCACTAAACTTATGTATTCCTGTTATTCATTGCATGTGAAGTCTGTCTTTCGTAACTACGACCACGACCATGACGGATACATATCTCAGGAAGACTTTGAGAGTATCGCTGCAAATTTCCCTTTCCTCGATTCCTTCTGCGTGCTTGATAAAGACCAGTAAGTAGGAAAAGCGTGTGAAATGTGTGATTCTTGTAAACAGGCCCCTGCAGTGCCAAACTGCTAATAGTGTTTGTTGGTGAGAGCAGCTCATAGTCTGTGTTGATGATCCTTTATAAGCCTGGGCAGAGATTCAGAAGCGCTCGATGATATTGGAAGGGACGCATTTTCAGTACATGATCTCATTTCTGACAGGGTCAATTTAGTGTGTCTGGAAATTCCACAAAGGGTTCTTCTCAACCATGCTAAACTCGTAAGCATGTTTAATCGCTGTAAATGAAGCAGAGCATGGCATGCCAACAAAACAACACTCATGATGTAATATTTAAACAACAATAATACATTTTTGAAAAGCATGTAAGTGCAGTGTTTTTTGCGTTTTGGGAAAATACGGCAAAAATGTATGCCTGATGCTTTCTGTACCACTGGATGAACGCATAAAAGATGATTTATGTATTTTTTTTTAAATGCATCATGTGTAATGCATCATTAGTCACTTTAGGCCATGCAGCTGCTCAGTGTGGGTTACCTGCTGCACTGTCAAAAGGCTGAAGGTCATATCTCCCGGGGAAGGATGCACAGCATCAGGCATGCACAGACTCTCTCACACACTCAGAAATTCCCCAGGCGTCCTCTGTGGTTCATCTTAGCAGTTCAGCGCTCAAACCGCATTACTGGCATGTGACTGCATGCATTTCTCATGAGCTCTTGCACTCACACTAACGGTTCTAATCAGATATCATACCTGTTTTGACACAGGAAGCAAAGAAATACTGCTTTATGAGCTGGAGGATATCATGATGATCTCTCTCTTTTTGTGCAGGGATGGATTGATCAGTAAGGATGAGATGATTGCGTATTTCCTGCGTGCCAACCCGCTGCTGCAGTGTAAGATGGGGCCTGGATTTATTCACAACTTCCAGGAGATGACTTACCTGAAGCCAACGTTCTGTGAACACTGCGCTGGATTTGTAAGATCTGATTTTATTTGGCTCATAAAGAGCTACAAAATTTACTTTCCATTCACATCAGCACAACTGGTAATGTATTTTGGGAGATTTCTGCAGTGCAGTGCTTATGCAGAGATACTCTCTGGGACTGAAGTTCAGTAGAAGTCTTCTGAGGATGTGTGTGTGCAAACAAGAATACCTAGCAAGACCTGAGTTTACCACAACATCACTGAATCGATGCAGACAGTGTTTAAAGGTTAAATCCGACCTTAAAACCATAGTGTCTAGCTGTTTCTCACTCCCAAGATTTCTGGCTAGTTAAGTAAAACATTTTATTGCTATTCTTCTCATTACAGGCCAAGTGGCTGACCATTAAAAATAATGAAATGCACTACCATTCGTAAGTTTGGGGTCAGTCACATTTTAATTTTTCTTAAAGAAATGTAATACTTTTATTTAGCAAGAATGCTTTAAATTGATCAAAAGTGTCCTTCTGCGTGCTTGATAAAGACCAGTAAGTAGGAAAAGCGTGTGAAATGTGTGATTCTTGTAAACAGGCCCCTGCAGTGCCAAACTGCTAATAGTGTTTGTTGGTGAGAGCAGCTCATAGTCTGTGTTGATGATCCTTTATAAGCCTGGGCAGAGATTCAGAAGCGCTCGATGATATTGGAAGGGACGCATTTTCAGTACATGATCTCATTTCTGACAGGGTCAATTTAGTGTGTCTGGAAATTCCACAAAGGGTTCTTCTCAACCATGCTAAACTCGTAAGCATGTTTAATCGCTGTAAATGAAGCAGAGCATGGCATGCCAACAAAACAACACTCATGATGTAATATTTAAACAACAATAATACATTTTTGAAAAGCATGTAAGTGCAGTGTTTTTTGCGTTTTGGGAAAATACGGCAAAAATGTATGCCTGATGCTTTCTGTACCACTGGATGAACGCATAAAAGATGATTTATGTATTTTTTTTAAAATGCATCATGTGTAATGCATCATTAGTCACTTTAGGCCATGCAGCTGCTCAGTGTGGGTTACCTGCTGCACTGTCAAAAGGCTGAAGGTCATATCTCCCGGGGAAGGATGCACAGCATCAGGCATGCACAGACTCTCTCACACACTCAGAAATTCCCCAGGCGTCCTCTGTGGTTCATCTTAGCAGTTCAGCGCTCAAACCGCATTACTGGCATGTGACTGCATGCATTTCTCATGAGCTCTTGCACTCACACTAACGGTTCTAATCAGATATCATACCTGTTTTGACACAGGAAGCAAAGAAATACTGCTTTATGAGCTGGAGGATATCATGATGATCTCTCTCTTTTTGTGCAGGGATGGATTGATCAGTAAGGATGAGATGATTGCGTATTTCCTGCGTGCCAACCCGCTGCTGCAGTGTAAGATGGGGCCTGGATTTATTCACAACTTCCAGGAGATGACTTACCTGAAGCCAACGTTCTGTGAACACTGCGCTGGATTTGTAAGATCTGATTTTATTTGGCTCATAAAGAGCTACAAAATTTACTTTCCATTCACATCAGCACAACTGGTAATGTATTTTGGGAGATTTCTGCAGTGCAGTGCTTATGCAGAGATACTCTCTGGGACTGAAGTTCAGTAGAAGTCTTCTGAGGATGTGTGTGTGCAAACAAGAATACCTAGCAAGACCTGAGTTTACCACAACATCACTGAATCGATGCAGACAGTGTTTAAAGGTTAAATCCGACCTTAAAACCATAGTGTCTAGCTGTTTCTCACTCCCAAGATTTCTGGCTTGTTAAGTAAAACATTTTATTGCTATTCTTCTCATTACAGGCCAAGTGGCTGACCATTAAAAATAATGAAATGCACTACCATTCGTAAGTTTGGGGTCAGTCACATTTTAATTTTTCTTAAAGAAATGTAATACTTTTATTTAGCAAGAATGCTTTAAATTGATCAAAAGTGACAGTAAAGACATTTCTAGTGTTACAAACTATTTCTATTTCATATAAATGCTGTTCTTTTTTATTACTTTCTGTTCATCGCTGTTTCTACAAAAATAATAAGCAGCTGTTTTTAACGTTAATAATAGGAAATGTTTCTTGAGCATTGAATCAGCATATTAGAATGATTTCTGACGGATCATGTGACACTGAAGGCTGGAGCAATGGCGGCTGAATAATTCTACTTTGCTATCACTTGCATACATAACAATTTTAGGTAACACTTTACTTGAAGGGGTGTGCATAAGACTGACATGACACCTGAATATATGAAAATAAAAACAAGTTGTAATTATATTTCACAATATAACTGTTTCGACTGGATATTTGATTAAAGCAGCCTTGATGAGCATAAGAGACTTCTTTCTAAAACATTAAAAAGTAAAAGTATTACCGACCCCAAACTTTTCAACAAGAAGAAATTGAGGATGTTTTTGGATTATTTAACAAAGCATACAACCACTGGATTTTTTTTTAAAATATAGAACAGAAGTTATGTACAAAATGATGTCTTTCCTAGTAAATGCAGCACATTTCCTGTTCCCACTGAACTAAATATTCAGGGCTGATGAACTATAGGGTGAGTGTATCTGCTGCTCAAATCGTTCTGTATTTACACAGATGGTTAGACAGGAATCCGCTGAGTTAACACACAAATTCTTTTAAACAGACTTTCAGACACGCACACACACACACACACACACAGATCCACCTTGTCACACTGTATTGCACAGGAAGGGTGTAATGTGTAATGTGTGGAAGTACCCTGTTTATTATTCATGGGTCTGTGTACAGAAAACCATAAACTCAAACAGCATGAACCTGCTGCTTCTGTCCCCAATTTATATTTACTTACATGCTTCTCTCTCTCCATTTTGTTGTCTTCATGCCCTTTCTTTTCACCCCGTGGTCGGTCCATGTTTTCAGCTCTGGGGGATTATTAAACAAGGATACAAGTGCAAAGGTAAAAAATAAATAAATAGAGCAAATCACAGTAGATGTTGATGCTTGAGGAGTGCACTAATCTTATAAATTCATTACTAGTTTCTTTTCTCGGTAACACTTTCTATGAAGCCCGTATTTATAATACATTATAAGGGTATTCTTAAGGCATTATAATGAATGCATTAATGCATTATAAAAAACCGTATAATATGTTATATCAACTCATGAATAATCATAACAACAATTATAATACATCATAATACTTACGTATTTGTGGTTATAAGTTTAAGAGTGTGCTTATTTATAACACAATGAACACCATATTAAATCTACTTAATTTACAGTATAATGGACTGTATCATATCTTGACATTGTTTATTTAAGATCTGCACAGTATCTTACTACAGCTTGTGAGTGGTTAGATGTTGAGTGTTTCCTGTGGAGCTAATGTTAATTAATTGATATGAGCTTAATACTCCAACTGAAAAAAATGCAATGTTTTATATGGTTACATTTTATTTTGATGGTCCCCTTAATCAATCGACTATAAGCAACTTTGCAACTACATGCCAATTAACTCTCATTAGAGTATTAGTATGCTCAAGAATGGCAGAATCTAGTAAGGTAGAGTAAGTTGACGTACTTGCAAATACACTTATAGTCAGTTTATCTGTTGGTTGACCATCAAAATAAAGTGTTAGCAAATATTTACAGTAGCAGACGTACTAATACTCTAATGACCATTAGTTGATATGTAGTTGCAGAGTTACTTATCAACAGCTGTCTAAAGGGTACCATCAAAATAATCAAACTGATATTACAATAAAAATAGTTCAAAGCAAATGTGTCATATTACACATTCATCTGATCTGATTTTATGGCTGTTTGAGAGCAATTTTTATTATTATTATTATTATTATTACTACTTATAAGTGGTCTTTGACCCCTTTAAGTAAAGTAGCATAAGAAAAATGGCAAGATATGAGACTTATAATACATTATAACTATGAGAAATATAATCCATTGTAAAAGTGGATGCAACGTGTTCATTGTGTTATAAATCATCATACTCTTAAAAGCTATAACCACAAATAAGTAAATATAATAATATATTAAAACTGTTCTTATGAATATTCATGAGATGATACAACATATTATAAGTTTTTTTA